GACTGAGTACGCCTGAGCCCCCTCGATGTCCAGTGGGGGCGGAGGAACCTCTCGTACCTCAGAGTCCTGGAGTGGACCAGCTACTACCGGCCAGAGGAGAGAGACATGGAACGAGGGGTTAATACGGTAATTAATGGGAAGTTGTAACCTATAACAAACCTTGTTCAATCTCCTCAGGACTTTAAATGGCCCCACAAACCGCTGACCCAGCTTCCGGCAGGGCAGGCGAAGGGGCAGGTTTCGGGTCGAGAGCCAGATCCGATCTCCCGGTGCATACACCGGAGCCTCACTGCGGTGGCGATCGGCGCTCGCCTTTTGTCGCCTGATAGCCCGCTGCAGGTGGACATGCGCAGCGTTCCAGGTCTCTTCCGAGTGCTGAAACCACTCATCCACCGCAGGAGCTTCGATCTGGCTCTGATGCCAAGGTGCCAGGACCGGCTGATAACCTAACACACACTGAAAAGGCGTAAGGTTAGTTGAGGAGTGGCGAAGTGAGTTTTGGGCTATCTTTGCCCAGGGGATATATCCCGACCACTCCCCCTGCTGGTCCTGGCAATAGGACCTCAGAAACCTACCCACATCCTGGTTCACTCTCTCCACCTGCCCATTACTCTCGGGGTGAAAACCTGAGGTAAGGCTAATCGAGACCCCCAGACATTCCATAAACGCCCTCCAGACTCTAGAGGTGAACTTGGGGACCCCGATCAGACACTATATCCTCAGGTACCCCGTAGTGCCGGAAGACTTGTGTAAACAGGGCGTCAGCAGTTTATGGGGCTGTAGGGAGACCTGGCATAGGAATGAGACGGCAGGCCTTCGAAAACCGATCCACAATGACCAAGATCGTAGTGTTCCCCTGTGAGGGGGGAAGGTCCGTGACAAAGTCCACTGATAGATGAGACCACAGCCGTTGTGGAACGGGTAGGGGTTGTAATTTCCCTCTGGGCAGGTGTCTAGGCGCCTTACACTGGGCGCACACCGAGCAGGAGGAAACTTAAACCCTCACGTCCTTAGCTAAAGTGGGCCACCAGTACTTCCCACTAAGGCAGTGCACTGTCCGACCGATACCAGGATGACCAGAGGAGGGTGACGTGTGAGCCCAATATATCAATCGATCACGAACCTCGAGCGGCACGTACATCCGACCCTCTGGACACTGGGAAGGAGTAGGATCGGTGCGTAATGCCCGCTCGATGTCCGCATCAACCTCCCACACCACCGGTGCCACCAGACAAGACTCCGGAAGTATGGGAGTGGGCTCAATGGACCTCTCCTTGGTGTCATATAGTCGGAACAGGGCGTCTGCCTTAGCGCTCTGGGAACCTGGTCTGTAGGTGAGCGTAAACACAAATCGAGTGAAAAACATAGCCCACCTTGCTTGACGCGGGTTCAACATCCTCGCCGCCCGGATGTACTCCAGGTTACGATGGTCAGTCAAAATGAGAAAAGGGTGTTTAGCCCCCTCAAGCCAATGCCTCCACACCTTCAGGGCTTGAACCACAGCTAACAGCTCCCTGTCCCCCACATCATAATTGCGCTCTGCCGGACTGAGCTTCTTAGAAAAGAAAGCACAGGGACAGAGTTTTGGTGGCGTACCCGAGATCTGAGACAGTACAGCACCGATCCCAGCCTCGGACGCGTCCACCTCAACTTGGAATGCCAAAGAGGGATCCGGATGTGCCAGCACCGGAGCCGAGGTAAACAGGTCCTTCAGATGCCTAAAAGCCCTGTCCGCCTCAGCCGACCACTGCAGACGCACCAGCCCTCCCTTTAGCAGGGAGGTAATGGGAGCTGCTACCTGCCCAAAGCCCCGGATAAACCTCCGGTAGTAATTGGCAAAACCCAAGAACCGCTGCACCTCCTTCACCGTGGTGGGAGTCTGCCAATTGCGCACGGCCGAAACGCGGTCAATCTCTATCTCCACACCTGACGCGGACAAACGGTGTCCCAGGAAGGAGATGGACTCTTGGAAGAATAGACATTTCTTCGCCTTCACATACAGGTCATGCTCCAACAGTCTACCTAGCACCCCCGAACCAGGGACACATGCTCGGCTCATATAGCGGAGTGTATTAGATTGTCATCGATATACACCACTACACCCTGTCCATGCAAGTCCCGGAAAATCTCATCCACAAATGATTGGAAGACTTAAGGAGCATTCATCAAACTGTATGGCATGACAAGGTACTCATAGTGGCCCGAGGTGGTACTAAATGCTGTCTTCCACTCATCTCCCTCCCTAATACGCACCAGGTTGTACGCGCTCCTGAGATCCAATTTTGTGAAGAAGCGCGCCCCGTGTAATGACTCCGTCATACTAGCAATCAGAGGGAGTGGATAGCTGTATTTGATTGTGATCTGATTGAGACCACGGTAGTCAATGCACGGGCATAAACCACCATCCTTCTTCTTCACAAAAAAGAAATTCGATGACGCAGGGGAAGTGGACGGCCGTATGTATCCCTGTCTCAGAGATTCGGTGACATATGTCTCCATAGCCGCCGTCTCCTCCTGAGATAGAGGATACACATGACTTCGGGGAAGCGCAGCGCCTACTTGGAGGTTTATCGCACAATCCCCCTGTCGATGTGGTGGTAATTGAGTCGCCTTCTTTTTACAGAAGGCGAGAGCCAAATCGGCATATTCAGGCGGAATGTGCATGGTGGGAACTTGGTTCGGACTTTCCACCATCGTTGCCCCTACGGAAACACCTACACACCTCCCCAAGCACTGATCAGACCATCCCTCGAGAGCCCTCTGTTGCCATGAGAAGTTAACCAGGGAAGCCCCAACACCACGGGAAACGCAGGAGAATCAATCAGATACAATCTAATTATCTCCTCATGGCCCTCTTGCGTTTTCATCCTGAGAGGCGCTGTGACCTCCCTAATCAACCTCCCTAAATTCCCAGCTGCTCCTGAATCGATTAGCGCCTTATGCTGGGAATGAGGAGAAACCTCGGGAAACACAACATTAATACACATATGCGCAACAGGGAGCTCTGGGTGAGTTGGGTGCCTACTCACCTGGAATGGCTCATCAGTGCGCTGCCTACCGCCTCGACTCCTGGGAGGCCCTCCCCAGCACCGACCAGCAGTGTGTCCTCTGCGGCCACAGTTGGTGCAGGGGACGGCCCCTCTCCTGGTCTCCCTCATACCAGCACCTCCGAGCTCCATAGGGGTCGGCTCGGAAGTGCTGGGGGATGGAATGGACGGCCCCGGATCCGGACGTCCGCGGGTAGCCAACAGGGTATCCAGGTGAATTGACATGTCCACCAGTTGGTTCAGGCTTAGGTTGGTGTCCCTGCAGGCCAATTCCCGACGCACGTCCTCCCTCAAGCTACATCGGTAGTGGTCGATGAGGGCCCTCTCATTCCATCCCGCGTTGGCAGCCAGAGTCCTAAAGTCCAGTGCGAATTCCTGTGCGCTCCTCCTCCCCTGTCTGAGGTGGAATAGATGCTAACCCGCCGCTTTTCCTTCTGGTGGATGATCGAATACCGCCCTAAAGTGGCAGGTGAACTCAGCATAGTTGACAGTAGCGGCGTCTATTCCCCCCCACTCGGCGTTGGCCCACTCCAGCGCCTTGCCGGACAGACAGGAGAGGGCAGACACGCTCTCGTATCCCGAGGGGACCGGGTGGATGGTTGCCAGGTAGAGTTCGACCTGGAGCAGGAAACCCTGACACCCGGCAGCTGTGCCATCATATGCCCTCGGGAGCGAGAGCCGAATCCCACTGGACCCCGGAGGTGAAGCGATGGGTATCGATGATGGTGGGGGTTCAATCGGAGGAGGTGTAGGCAGACCTCCTCTCTCCCATCGCTCCATGGTGTTCACTACACGTTCCATGGCGGTGCCGAGAGCCTGGATCATGGCCGCTTGTTGTTGTACGCATTCTTCCATTGATCCTGCTGGCACCGCTGCTCCTGCTGACTCCATGTCAGGTGTGTGATTCTGTCAGAGCGTCAGTGAATGCGGTAAGCGAAGTCAAACGCAGGACACAGAGCTTACTGGAAACATACTTTACTCGAAAGTAACCACAGTATCAACAACCTCCACACAGGGAGGAAAACAACCTGCACACGAACTACTGCCGATGACGAATACAATCACACACAACACACAATGAAAGACAGAGGGTTATATAGGGAAGACAATACAACATAATGGGAAACAGGTGTACACAATAAAGACCAAACAAGTCAAACACAGAAACATAGATTGGTAGCAGCTAGTACTCCGGGGACGACGAACGCCGAAGCCTGCCCGAGCAAGGAGGAGGGGCAGCCTCGGCTGAATCCGTGACAGATTCCAATGTACCTCAAAGAGCTAATGTTGTGACCAGCCTCCATGAAATGCGCAGCCACATGGTTTCTCTGGTCAAGGGTCTTGATATTACGCCTGTGTTCTGCTATCTTTGTTTTCAGAGCTCGTTTCATTTTTCCTACATAGCATAGACCACAAATACACTTGATCAGGTATATAAATGTTTTTGTGGAACATGTAATGATGCCCTTAATCTTAATGGCCTTGCCCGTAATAGGGAGATTGAACATTGTGCATTTGTTCGTAAAGATACACTGGGTGCATCCGCCACATCTATAGTTACCGTCCGGCACATTGTCTAGAAAGGTACTACATGGCACTGGGGGAAGATCAGACCTCACCACCATTTGACTGATGTTGGGGGCGCGTCTGAAGACAAACCGCGGGTTTAAAAAAAACATATTTTCCATTTGTGGATAAGTGCTCAAGATGTGCCAGTGTTTTTTAATGATGTGGTTGAACTGTTTACCAAGTGGGGAGTATTGAACGCGTTGGTCAGAAGGGCGGGAAGGTTTGGGTGTGAGGCTGTCATCCTGGGTCATATATTATAACGTTCCCTTGCGTCATGCAGCCATTCCTCTGGGTAACCCCGCTGTCTGAAACGCTCATCCAGATAGTCAGCTTGTTTGTCAATCCTGCGTATGCGACTGTATTGGCTAATGGGGATGCTCTTTTTTAGGGGTGGAGGGTGGAAGCTGTCTCCGCGTAACAGGGAATTCCTGTCCGTTGGCTTCCTGTATAGATCCGTGCTAAAAACACCCCCATCCCTCTTAACCAAATGTAAAGAAAACTTGTTTCATGCGCATCAAAGATGAGGGTGAATTTCAAATGTTCACTGCTTGTATTGATAAAGGAGTGGAATCGATGAAATTCCTCTGCTGTGCCCTGGAATAGAAGGAATGCGTCATCAATTAAGTGTTTCCAAAGTCTGATATGGCGCAAGAATGGATTGTTAGGGCTGAAAATCACATTCTTCTCAAACAACCCCAGATACAGATTGGCATAATTCGGTGCCATTTTACTACCCATAGCAGTTCCGTTCTGTTGAATGAACATGTAATTATCAAACATGAAAAAGTTCTTAGTCACAACAATCTCAGCAAGTTCAACAATACAGTTAGTGCTAGGGAGTGTGCCAGTGGGTCGTTGACTAAGATAGTGTGCCATGGCTTCTAGGCCTCCCTGATGGGGTATAGTAGTATACAGGGATTCAACATCAAAGCAAGACATAAGCATCTCCCCATTGATATTGTGCATTGTCTTGAGGGTGTTAATCATGCCCATAGAATCGCGTACATATGCAGGGAGTGACACCCTACTGGGTTTTAGAAAGAAATCTACAAATGCAGAAATATTTTCAGTCAATGGAGGCCACAATAGTTCTCTCTGGTGGCTTATCCATCATATCTGGCCCTGTGCCCTCTCTGAATCGTGGCATTGAGGCATTGAACGCTTTAGCAGGATTCTTGCTCTTCACAACTGGCTACGTGATTATTGCAGCTCAATGGGTGTACATTTTGTTGACAATTTTGATACCTTTTGGAAACAAAACACGTTTTATAAATCATTTAGTTTCCTGGATCCTTTCACAGCATTATAAGGCTGCGTTGAGACAATGACTTAGCAATGACCCAAGCCCAGCTCAGCTAATCCCTACCATTGTGACGCAGAGTTTTCAAAATGTTTCAGCAAATGTACATTACATCAGGGGCGTTGGTAGTCACATACAGTGGGGAGAACAAGTATTTGATACACTGCCGATTTTGCAGGTTTTCCTACTTACAAAGCATGTAGAGGTCTGTAATTTTTATCATAGGTACACTTCAACTGTGAGAGACGGAATCTAAAACAAAAATCCAGAAAATCACATTGTATGATGAACAGGAGGGCTTCTTAAAGAAAAACTAACAGGTCTGTGAGAGCCGGAATTCTTACTGGTTGGTAGGTGATCAAATACTTATGTCATGCAATAAAATGCAAATTAATTACTTAAAAATCATACAATGTGATTTTCTGGATTTTGTTTTAGATTCCGTCTCTCACAGTTGAAGTGTACCTATGATAAAAATTACAGACCTCTACATGCTTTGTAAGTAGGAAAACCTGCAAAATCGGCAGTGTATCAAATACTTGTTCTCCCCACTGTATACGTAACCTAATTTATGTCCCTCTAACTGCCCTGAATGCCACTGCTGATCCTACAGCTATTGTGTGCAGTAATCATGTGCCTAAGAACCAGATTTATACTGTTAGCACTGAGCCGGAGTGGCCGAGGAGGCAGTCAACTGTGTGCAGCTCACTGTGCACCAACATAAAGAACATGAGCACATCTACTGCTGCTAAGCTTCCCAGTAAAACAATAAAAACAAGTAAGTATCCCAGAAGAAAAGTGCTCAAAATAGCCCACGTTAACTTATGTAGCTTAAGAAACAAGGTTCATGAAATCAATAATTTGCTAGTAACAGATGACATTCATATTCTGACTATCTCTGAAACTCACTTAGATAATACCTTTTGATGATACAGTGGTAGCAATACAAGGTTATAACATTTACAGAAAATATAGAAATGCCAATGGAGGAGGTGTTGCTGTTTATATTCAGAACCACATTCATGTGAAGATTAGAGAGGATTTCATTTATTTATATTTATTTTTATTTCACCTTTATTTAACCAGGTAAGCCAGTTGAGAACAAGTTCTCATTTACAACTGCGACCTGGCCAAGATAAAGCAAAGCAGTGCGATAAAAACAACAAGAACACAGAGTTACACATGGGATAAACAAAACATACTGTCAAAAAAACAATAGAAAATAGAAAATCTATATACAGTGTGTGCAAATGTAGTAAGTTATGGAGGTAAGGCAATAAATAGGCCATAGTGCAAAATAATTACAATTGAGTATTAACACTGGAGTGATAGATGTGCAGAAGATTATGTGCAAATAGAGATACTGGGGTGCAAATTAGCAAAATAAATAACAATGTAAATAACCATATGGGGATGAGGTAGTTGGGTGGGCTAATTACAAATGGGCTGTGTACAGGTACAGTGATCGGTAAGCTGCTCTAACAACTGATGCTTATAGTTAATAAGGGAAATAAGTGTCTCCAGCTTCAGAGATTTTTGTAGTTCGTTCCAGTCATTTGCAGCAGAGAACTGGAAGGAATGGCAGCCAAAGGAGGTGTTGGCTTTGGGGATGACCAGTGAGATATACCTGCTGGAGCGCATACCACGGGTGGGTGTTGCTATGGTGACCAATGAGCTAAGACAAGGCGGGGATTTGCCTAGAAGTGATTTATAGATGACCTGGAGCCAGTGGGTTTGGCGACTATGTAGTGAGGGCCAGCCAACGAGAGCGTACAGGTCACAATGGTGGGTAGTATATGGGGCTTTGGTGACAAAACGGATGGCACTGTGATATACTACATCCAATTTGCTGAGTAGAGTGTAAATGACATCGCCGAAGTCAAGGATCGGTAGAATAGTCCGTTTTACAAGGGCATGTTTAGCAGCATGAGTGAAGGAGGCTTTGTTGCGAAACAGGAAGCCGATTCTAGATTTAACTTTGGATTGGACATGCTTAATGTGAGTCTGGAAGGAGAGTTTACGGTCTAACCAGACACCTAGGTATTTGTAGTTGTCCACATATTCTAAGTCTGACCCGCCGAGAGTAGTGATTCTAGTCGGGCGGGCGGGTGCAAGCAGCGTTCGATTGAAGAGCATGCATTTAGTTTTACTAGTGTTTAAGAGCAGCTGGAGGCCACAGAAGGAGTGTTGTATGGCATTGAAGCTTGTTTGGAGGTTTGTTAACACAATGTCCAATGAAGGGCCAGATGTATACAAAATGGTGTCGTCTGCATAGAAGTGGATCTGAGAGTCACCAGCAGCAAGAGCAACATCATTGATATACACAGAGAATAGTCGGCCCGAGAATTGAACCCTGTGGCACCCCCATAGAGACTGCCAGAGGTCCATACAACAGGCCCTCCGATTTGACACATTGAACTCTATCTGAAAAGTAGTTGGTGAACCAGCCGAGGCAGTCAGTTGAGAAACCAAGGCTATTTAGTCTGCCAATAAGAATGCGGTGGTTGACAGAGTCGAAAGCCTTGGCCAGGTCGATGAAGACGGCTGCACAGTACTGTCTTTTATCGATCGCGGTTATTATATCGTTTAGGACCTTGAGCGTGGCTGAGGTGCACCCATGACCAGCTCGGAAACCAGATTGCATAGCGGAGAAGGTACGGTGGGATTCGAAGTGGTCGGTGATCTGTTTGTTAACTTGGCCTTCAAATATTTTCGAAAGGTAGGGTAGGATGGATATAGGTCTGTAACAGTTTGGATCTAGAGTGTCACCCCCTTTGAAAAGGGGGATGACTGCGGTAGCTTTCCAATCTCTGGGGATCTCAGACGATACGAAAGAGGTTGAACATGCTAGTAATAGGGGTTGCGACAATTTCGGCGGCTAATTTTAGAAATAAAGGGTCCAGATTGTCTAGCCCAGCTGATTTGTAGGGGTCCAGATTTTGCAGCTCTTTCAGGACATCAGCTATCTGAATTTCGGTGAAGGAGAAGCGGGGGGCATGGGAAAGTTGCAGCGGAGGGTGCAGAGCTGGTGGCCGGGGTAGGGGTAGCCAGGTGGAAAGCATGGTCAGCCGTAGCAAAATGCTTATTGAAATGTATCGGTGGTGACAGTGTTTCCTAGCATCAGTGCTGTGGGTAGCTGGGAGGAGGTGCTTTTATTCTCCATGGACTTTACAGTGTCCCAAAACCGTTTGGAGTTAGTGCTACAGGATGAACATTTCTGTTTGAAAAAGTTAGCCTTTGCTTTCCTAACTGATTGTGTATATTGGTTCCTGACTTCCCTGAAAAGTTGTATATCGCGGGGGCTGTTCGATGCTAATGCAGTACGCCACAGGATGTTTTTGTGCTGGTCAAGGGCAGTCAAGTCTGGGGTGAACCAGGGGCTATATCTGTTCTAAGTTCAGAATTTTTTGAATGGGGCATGCTTATTTAAGATGGAGAGGTAAGCACTTTTGAATAACATCCAGAAATCCTCTACTGACGGAATGAGGTCAATATCCATCCAGGATACCCGGGCCTGGTCAATTAGAAATGCCTGCTCGCTGAAGTGTTTTAGGGAGCGTTTGACAGTGATGAGGGGTGGTCGTTTGACCGCGGACCCATTACGGACGCAGGCAATGAGGCAGTGATTGCTGAGATCCTGGTTGAAGACAGCGGAGGTGTATTTAGAGGGGAAATTAGTCAGGATGATATCTATGATGGTGCCCATGTTTACGGATTTAGGGTTGTACCTGGTAGGTTCCTTGATAATTTGTATGAAATTGAGGGCATCTAGTGTAGATTGTAGGACGGCCAGGGTGTTAAGCATATCCCAGTTTAGGTCACCAAGCAGTACGAACTCTGAGGATAGATGGTGGGCAAGCAATTCACATATGTTGTCCAGGGCACAACTGGCGGCTGAGGGGGGTCTGTAGCAAGCAGCAACAGTGAGATACTTATTTCTGGAAAGGTGGATTTTTTAAATAGAAGATCAAACTGTTTGGGCACAGACCTGGATAGAATGATAGAGCTCTGCAGGCTATCTCTACAGTAGATTGCAACTTCGCCCCCTTTGGCAGTTCTATCTAGACGGAAAATGTTGTAGTTCGGGATGGACATTTCTGAATTTTTGGTGGCCTTCCTAAGCCAGGATTCAGACACTGCTAGAACATCAGGGTTGGCAGAGTGTGCTAATGAAGTGAATAACTCAAACTTGGGGAGGAGGCTTCTGATGTTAACATGCAAGAAACCAAGGCTTTTACGGTTACAGAAGTCAACAAATGATAGCGCCTGGGGAGTAGGAGTGATACTGGGGGCTACAGGGCCTGGGTTAACCTCTACATCACCAAAGGAACAGAGAAGGAATATAATAAGTATACGGCTAAAGGCTTTAAGAACTGGTCTTCTAGTGCGTTGGGTACAGAGAATAAACAGGGCTGATTTCCGGGTGTTGTAGAATAGAATCAGGGCGTTATGTACAGACAAGGATATGGAGGGATATGAGTACAGTGGAGGTCCACCTAAGCATTGGGTAACGATGAAAGAGATAGCATCACTAGAGGTACCGATAGAGCCTGGTCTCAGCGTTCATGGGGGGTGGGACAAAGAAGCTCTCTGAGGCAGGTTGAGTAGGACTGGGGGCTTTACAGTGAAATAGTACAATAACAACTAACCCAAACAGCAATAAGCTAGGCATATTGACATGGGAGAGAGGCATAACGCAATCACAGGTGTTATTAGAGAGGTCTAAGACAACAACTGGTAATGGCGACGAAAGTTTGGGCTGAGGCTAAACAGATAAACAGGATGGGGCACCGTGTAAAGGAACAGTCCAGCAGGCATCAGATGTGTAGCTGAGTGATCATAAGGTCCAGTGAACAGCAATAGGTAGGTCCGGGAGCAGTTCGTAGGCTGCTACAGCACAGTCGAGCAGGAGGCAAATAATTGTTGTGTATTAACAATGACAAGCCACTGGGGTCTGACATCTTGGATGGAAAATTACTGAGGATAACAGCGGACGATATTGCCTCTCCTATTTGCCATATTTTCAATTTAAGCCTACTAGAATGTGTGTACCCCCAGGCTTGGAGGGAAGCAAAAGTCATTCTGCTACCTAATAATAGTAAAGCCCCTTTACTGGCTCAAACAGCCGACCAATGAGCCGGTTACCAACCCTTAGTAAACTATTGGAAAAAATTGTGTTTGACCAGATACAATACTATTTTACTGTAAACAAATTGACAACAAACTTTCAGCATGCTTATAGAGAAGAACATTCAACAAGCACTTACAAAAATGACTGATGATTGGCTGAGAGAAATTGATAATAAAAAGATTGTGGGGGCTGTTTTGTTAGACTTCAGTGCAGCTTTTGACATTATCGATCATAGTCTGCTGCTGGAAAAACGTATGTGTTATGGCTTTAAACCCCCTGCTATAATGTGGATAAAGAGTTACTTGTCTAACAAAACACAGAGGGTGTTCTTTAATGGAAGCCTCTCAAACATAATCCAGGTAGAATCAGGAATTCCCCAGGGCAGCTGTCTAGGCCCCTTGCTTTTTCCATCTTTACTAACAACATGCCTTTGAGTAAAGCCAGTGTGTCTATGTATGCGGATGACTCAACACTATACATGTCAGCTACTACAGCAACTGAAATAACTGCAACACTTAACAAAGAGTTGCAGTTAGTTTCGGAATGGGTGGCAAGGAATAAGTTAGTCCTGAATATTTCCAAAACTAAAAGCATTGTATTTGGGTAAAATCCTTCACTAAACCCTAAACCTCAATTACATCTCGTAATGAATAATGTGGAAATTGAACAAGTTGAGGTGACTAAACTGCCTGGAGTAACCCTGGATTGTAGACTGTCATGGTCAAAGCATATTGATACAGCAGTAGCTAAGATGGGGAGAAGTATGTCCATAAGTAAGCGCTGCTCTGCCTTCTTAACAACACTATCAACAAGGCAGGTCCTACAAGCCCTAGTTTTGTTGCACCTAGACTACTGTTCAGTAGTGTGGTCAGGTGCCACAAAGAGGGACTTCGGAAAATTGCAGTTGGCTCAGAACAGGGCAGCACGGCTGGCCCTTAAAAGTTCACGGAGAGCTAACATTGATGACATGCATGTCAGTCTCTCCTGGCTCAAAGTGGAAGAGAGATCAACTTCATCACTGCTTGTTTTTGTGAGAGGTGTCGACGAGCTGAATGTACCGAGCTGTCTGTTTGGAATACTGGCACGCAGCTCGGACACCCATTCATGCCCCACAAGACATGCCACCAGAGGTCTCTTCACAGTCCCCAAGTCCAGAACGGACTATGGGAGGCGCACAGTACTACATAGAGCCATGACTACATGGAACTCTATTCCACATCAGGTAACTGATGCAAGCAGTAGAATCATATTGAAAAAACAGGTAAAAATACACCTTGTGGAACAGCAGGGACAGTGAAGAGACACACACACAGGCACATACACACATACATATAGACACTCACTCTACACACACGTACACATGGATGTCGTATTGTAGTAGTGGTAAAGTGTTATGAAATATGTTATGTAATATTTTAAATTGTATATAACTGCCTTAATGTTGTAGGACCCCAGGAAGAGTAGCTGCTGCCTTGGAAGCAGCTAATGGGGATCCTTAATAAATACAAATACAAAAACAAAATTTTTGTGGATTTTTGGTAAGGCATGAATAACGTTCCTGATTTCTATAGTCTACTTTCATGAACTCATTATTTTTGCATAATGTATCCACTTTCCACAAGAGACTTCAGCTTGCAGTGAATCTCATCTTTGAACGGAGGTGTGGGGTCACGTGACAATTTCTGATAGAAAGTGGTGTTGTTCAATTGTCCCCAGATCTCATTCACATAGTCATCACGGTTTAACAAAACCACAGCTCCGCCCTTGTCAGCATTGGAATCATTTTTTAAATCTTCCAATGCTTGTCTCTGTTCTTTAGGGAGATTATTGTAGACTCTGTATTCTCGTTTCTTATTCAAAATCTGAGACATCTTTTTCTACCAATTTGCAGTACGTTTCTAGGGAGGGATTTATGTATCTGGGCGGATCAAAGGTGAATATTGCTCGAAAAGGGGTAATCGTTCTGTGGGAAAATATATTCTCTATTAGTCTGAACACTCGTCTCACCCATACTTGACACATCCACATTTGGACTCTTATCATTTATGGGACAAAAGATCTCCCTAAGTCTCAATGTACAAAATAATTTCTGAAACTCTATTGTGGTGTCAAAGTCATTACTTGATGCAGTGGGGACGAAAGATAAACCCTAACTCAAGGCCAACTCACATGAAGTGGTGATGGAACGTGAAGAAAGGTTAATCACACTCAGGCATTCTGACTGCGTGTCCAATAGCGGCCTTGCTCCTCTGTTCTTCTTGCCCCTCCGACACTTCTTCCACGTCCGCGGTGCTGCTGACGCCTGTTGGGCCATTGAGGGTATCCTTTTCCCCCTCGCTTGCGTCCTAAAAAAGATCCACTCCCATGGGAATCATAGCTGTAATCTGGATCTACATCAAGAGAAGATGCACTCAAGTGTGGAGGTAGGGTAACCTGCTTTGGGCAGTCTCTGACGTCACTGCGCGTCTGTCTACGGCCTCGCCGGGGATTCCCTCCCCACAATTATGTTCATTGTCATTGGAGTGCCGCTCAAACTTCTTAATCTTCCTTGCTCTGATGTCCTGCTCCAGGTCAGTCTTGAATTTCAATAGTGTGCTCTCCATATTTGTGAGTTTCTCTGGGTCAGTTATTGCTGCATGCAATTGTAATCTGACCGCTTGTATCTTCTCACGTATTCCACCCAGTTGCTCAGCTATTTCCTGGATAATAAGAGCCATGAGATCAAATGAGCATTTGTTTGTAATTTGGCACCACTGGTCACAGAAAGTCTCATTGTCTCTGCCGATTATGGTTGCGTTCTGCATTCTAAGGCCTTGTGGAATCAATTTCTTGTGCAAATAGTCACTCAAAGTGACAGCGTGGAGATGCATACGTGTCTCTCTGTCATATAGGTGTTTCAGTCTCTTTTGTAGTGATTCTGTTGTTTCAACTGGATCAATATGATTGTTCTTTACTAGCATGCTTCCTTTGCCCATGCCATTAGTGTACTAGGAAAATATTCAAAGTTCAGTCTTGAATTTTATATTGAGAGGGAAAAATCCCAGGTTAAAATGACTACAGTTTGGATATATCATCGCCCACTCAATACAGACCTGGCAACAAATAAAAAAACTGGGTAACTGGGAAGTGCAATGGCATACCCAAACACTGATATTTAGAAATAACTCCCTACCTTTGGGAGGGAAACCTATTATTTTTCAACAATGGTCTGAACAAGGAATTCATAAACTCTCGGACATAATGAATGATGACGGTTTATTATCCTTTTAATGATCAAAACATGTATAATTAACCTAGTTTGTCATTCTTTTTTTAATTTGCAGTTAAGAACAGCTATGCACATTCATGGGGTCCCGGTAGACAGAACACAAGTGGAGGCTTTGAATCCAATCTATATAAAAGAAATGTATAGAAGCCCTCCGTAAACCAATGGGAATAATTACGGTATGGAACACAGATCTTAAAGACTACAAACAAAATACAGATTGGAAAAGAGTCTGGAATAACATCCCAATGTCCTTACGACATTTTTATCATCAATTAATACACTACAAATTAATTCACGGATTTTATTTGACTCCGCGGAAATGCTTCCAATTTAAAATTGCTCCTACTCCAAATTGTCTGTTGTATTCTCAAATAAATATTGGAACCTACATGCACATGATGTGGGACTGCCCCAGTGTGAAGACCTTTTGGTCACAGGATGCCAGGTCTGTGTCGAGCATAGTTGGTGCTTCCATTCCCTATCTTCCTTATCTATTATTCCTGACTGCGGCAAAAATAATGTTGGTGACCAGATGGAAACCTTCACATAAACTCAGCATAACTCAATGGCTACAAAACTTCCTTGACGTCCTTTCACTAGAGCTCTCCAACATTAGATACATTCAATAGAGCAGTCGAAAAGGTCAAAAGCTTATGAGTTAATGTTTAAATTCACTAATTGAACCCCGCACAACAAAATAATAAAAGGCATCATTAAAAGTTAGTCACAAAAAAATAAAGCTATTTCTGTTCATCAGTTTGACATAGAGGGTAGTGTAGAACGAATTGTCAAAAATCATGTGTCTAGAAAATGTATCTTGGCACGGTCACATTCCAAACTGATGGTAATGGAGTCAACTAAGCCATTGGCATACTGATGGAACGAGTCCAGTTCCGTTTTGGTGCCTTTCCATATGATAAAAACATCATCAATATAGTGTTAGTAGAACACAATGTTATCAGAAAAATTATTATTAGAATGGATATATTTATCCTCAATGAGGCCCATAAAAGGTTGGCAAAATCAGGGGTGAAGGTAGTGCCCATCGAAGTGCCTCAGGATTGTAGATAATAATCCTCTCTAAACAAAAAATTGTTCTTAGTCAATACCAACTCGGCCATTTCAACTAGAAATGGGTCGAAGGAGTAGTGTCAGCTCTAGAGTCTAAAGAGTGACGTAAAGTCTCCAGTCCCATGTTGTGGGAATGTTACTGTACAAGCTAGTTACGTCCATAGATACAAGAAAAGTAGGCCTATCATCATTGTTCAGTGTTAGTTCAGATACAGTAACTGATTGACAAAGTCGCCTGTGTCTCTTAGGTAGGATGGTAGCTTAGTAACAAGAGGTCTGATATAGAAATCAATACAATTAGACAAAGGCTTGGTTAGAGAGTCATTACTTGCCACAATCGGACATCCAGGGGGAAACTCCTAGTAATCCTTGTGCGTTTTTGGTAAAATGTACATAACAGCCGTGGTGACCGCTTGTTGATGAGGTACCCCTACTCTTTGTCAGTCAGGTAGTCTTCCTCATGAGCTCTGCTGAGAAAATAATCAATTACAGTTTTGAACACATACAGTGCCTTGCAAAAGTATTCATCCCCCTTGGCGTTTTTCCTATTTTGTTGCATTACAACCTGTAATTTAAATGGATTTTTATTTGAATTTCATGTAATAGACATACACAAAATAGTCCAAATTGGTGAAGTGAAATGAAAAAAATAACTGAAATGTGGTGCGTGCATATGTATTCACCCCCTTTGCTATGAAGCCCCTAAATAAGATCTGGTGCAACCAATTACCTTCAGAAGTCACATAATTAGTTAAATAAAGTCCACCTGTGTGCAATCTGTGTCACATGATCTGTCACATGATCTCAGTATATATAAACCTGTTCTGAAAGGCCCCAGAGTCTGCAACACCACTAAGCAAGGGGCACCACCAAGCAAGCGGCACCATGAAGACCAAGGAGCTCTCCAAACAGGTCAGGGACAAAGTTGTGGAGAAGTACAGATCAGGGTTGGGTTATAAAAGAATATCCCACGGAGCATCATTAAATCCATTATTAAAAAATTGAAAGAATATGACACCATAACAAACCTGCCAAGAGAGGGCCGCCCACCAAAACTCACGGACCAGGCAAGGAGGGCACTGTCAGAAGAAATGCCTTGAAGAATGGGCAAAAATCCCAAATTGGTAGGCATGTTGTGTAAATCAAATGATACAAACCCCCCAATTTTTGGGGGGGAATGCCAAGGGGGTGAATACTTTCGCAAGCGTCGGTCACCTTTGAGTTTACAGAAGGAGTCCGTGTCAGACAATTGTCTCTGGATTTCTCCATCATAGTCAGATCTATTCATGCATGCCAATCCCGCCCCCTTATGACAGCTCTTGAAGATAAGGTTGGGATTTTGGGAGATGGAATGAAACATGTCTCTTTGTCTTGCTGCAGTTGGAAGCATATTTGTTATTGTCATTAGCAACAAATAATGTATCAACATCTCTCTCCACAAGCTTGCAAAATGTGTCAGTAGCCGAGTGTTTTACAGGGGGGCAGAATGTGCTCTTAGCTCTGAATATTGGACAACTATCTTCATTAGCATTACGCACCTCAAGAGGTAGACTAGTTCTACCCTTGTGAAAAAAATGTTTCAGCTTAATGGAACTAAAAAACTTGTTCAACCTTAGTTTGAAAGGGGTTGGTTCTCGGTGTAGGGACAAAAGAAAGTCCCTTGTTAAGCACAGCCTCTTCATCCTCATTGAGAGTATCAGCAGATTGGTTGATTAGTAGTGGGTCTGGCCCCTGCGCGCACTGTGCTTGTTGCGTCCGCATTGTGCCCTTGCCTTTTCACCCTCTGCTTCTGTGTTTTTTGAGCTCCTTGTCTGGTAATGATGGTAATGTTTGGTCAAGGAAGTGGAGAGATCTAAAAAAATTAATTCCCATCAGAGTCTGAGGGCAATTCTGATGCACTAGATTCAGAGGTTTGGATGTCATCTACCTCATGGTGATGTCATTCGGAAACACAATGTCAACTTTCACTGCCATGCGGACAACACAAAGCTGTACATTTCGATAAAACATGGTGAAGCCCCAAAATGGCCTACCCTGGAAGCATGTGTTTCAGACATAAGGAAGTGGATGGATTCTTTACTTTTAAACTCGGACAAAACGGAGATGCTAGTTCTAGGTCCCAAGAAACAAAGAGATCTTCTGTTGGATCTGACAATTAATCTTGATGGTTGTACAGTCGTCTCAAATAAAATTGTAAAGGACCTCGGCATTACCCTGCATGCTGTTCTCTCTTTTGACAAGAATATTTCAAGGGCAGCTTTTTTCCATCTTCGTAACATTGCAAAAAATCCTAAACTTTTCGTAAAAAAATTATGCAGAAAAGCTAATCCATGCTTTTGGTCACTTCTAGATTAGACTACTGCAATGCTCTACTCTCCGGCTACCCGGATAAAGCACTAAATAAACTTCAGTTAGTGCTAAACACGGCTGCTAGAATCTTGACTAGAACCCAAAAATGTATCATATTACTCCAGTGCTAGCCTCTCTACTGGCTTCCTGTTAAGGCTAGGACTGATTTCAAGGTTTTACTGC